GAGCTCTTGAACCAATTGAAAGAAAATTCTTCTGCTTCAACATGCCATATCCAGGACAGTTATGTCAAATCCATTGTTTTGGAGAGTGTTTGGAGTCGTGACTTCATGTTCTGTCATTCTTAGCACAGAAATATTCAAAGACTCTAGAAGTATATTCTCCCCTCCATTTGTCCTTATAATTTTTATAGCTTTCCCACTATAATTTTCAACAGCAGCCTTGAATCTCTTGAATGTTGCAAAAACATCACTCTTGGCTTTAATCAGATACACCCACATCATTATGTTGTAACTTGCATTCATCTATAAAAGACACAATACTTATTTTGTCCTGGAGAAGGTACTTCAAACGGACCACACACATCAGAATATGTCACATGCAACAAATCAGTGACTCTCACATGCATATGGGATTTGAAAGAAGTTCATGGTTGTTTTCCGAGTAAACATTCTTCACACATTTATGTGGCAGAGATATATTGTGCAAGGTTATCAAACTCGAGAGTTTACGTAAACTCGTGAGAGTCTAATAAAGTCGACTCGTAAACTCGACTCGTAAACTCGTAAGAGTTTACTTTACATGAAAAAAATATAAATAAAATCTTAATTCAAATAAGATAACAAAGTAATATAAATTCAATAAGTTTTTTCGCTACAAACATAAAAAAATAAAATGCCCAGGAGCTTAAAATATTATGGCAGCACAATTTTTTCAACCGTGTAGTGTATTTTATTTTTGAAAAATAAAATGAATGGTGCAATGACATACATAATATTATTAAAGTACATGCTGTTGTAAAACATAAATTATTAAAATATATGCTGCAGTGCTGTAAAGTTTACTCGTTAAAGTACTTGCTCTTAAAACATAAAGCCAAGTTAACCATTGAGGGTTTACACTTACGCAACCCGCAAGTTCAAAGACGATAAAACAAGGTTGACGGCGAGGTCGACAACGAAGTCGACGGCGAGGTCGATGGCGAGATCGATGGCAAGATCGATGGACGACGCGAATGGCGGGAACGAAGGCGAGATTGAACGACAAGAACGAAGGCGGTGCGACGGAAGGCAAGATCGACGGACGGTAAGTTCGAACGTCGAGATGGACGGCGCAACGGAGGGCGAGCCTGATGAAGGAGGGTGCGGCGGAGGGCGTGATCAAACACGAGATCGAATGTGAGAGCTCGAGAATAAAGATGAATAGTGAGCATAGATGAATAGTGAAAACAAAGATCCCAAACTCGCAAAATCGGAACCAGACTCGCGATTTTAGCCGAGTTTAGCGAGTCTACCACCGATTCCACCGATTCTACACCAAAAGCGAGTTTGCTTACGAGTTAACTCGAAAGCACTGTGTGAACTCGTAAACTCGATCGAGTTAACGAGTTAACTCGCGAGTTCAATAACCCTGAATTGTGTAATCCAATCACCATTTTCTAATCAGCTTATTTGTTTAAACTCTGACAATTAAAATGACCAAACCTTATGTGCCAAATCTAATTTGATTTGTCCAAAACAGTGGCTGCAAAACACTGTTTTTCAACCTGATGCAGCTTGATCTGAAAGGTTATGTTCTTTGACAAAGGGGACTTTAACACCAATTTCTGTCTTGAATCATAAACTTTCAGCAACTCATCCTTTGGTAACTAAGAAGCCTTTCTCAACTAGTTGTCCTACATTTAGCAAGTTACCTTTCATGCCAGTAACGTAAAGAAAACTCTTGATTATTGCTACCTTTTCTCCATCTCCTCTGATCAGATATTGCTTGTATTGTCGTCAAAGACAGTGTAGCTTCACTTTCTTGGTCTTTTCAGCACCTCCATATGCCCTTTGCAGAATATCCCAAACCTCCTTTGTTGTTTGGGCTTTGGCAATCTTTTTAAAGTTAACAAGATCCACACACTGATGCAGAAGACAGCGTGCCTTGAAGTCCTTTTTCTTGGTTGCTGTATCCGCCTTCTCTGCAGTGCCTTCTTTCACAGTATCGAGATCACCTCCATTTTTATCACCCGGTGATCATTATTCATTGTAAATTATAAACATACAAAATTTATAGTAAACGCTCAAATTTATTGTAAATTATGTTTATGCGCCCGCGCCACACACACATATGTATATATAAATATATATAACTTTTACATTCTTGAATTTATATTTTTTTTATAATTACTCTGTCAATTATGTAAGGAGAGAGACACACACATTTTATATATTTTATTTTAGAAGTTATTATTTTTATTATTTTCATCCTACACCTTATTTAAATTTTCAAATCGATCATGTTTCAACATTACATCACAAACCACCTACTCTATATTTATTATTTAATTAGTATTGTATTATATATAATATAAATTATGAAATGTCTTTGTTTTGTTAATTAAAATAGCTCTTCGTAACTTTCATCAAACTTAATAATTGTCTTAAGATAAAAAATATACAATAAAGGATATAAGTAGCCATCTTTGTCAGTTATAATGTAATTATATTTAAAATACTACTAAATATTTTACAAAATAATGTAATATATTTATTTATTTACAATTTTTTTAAAATATTATAGACAAATATAAATAATATATATAGTTCAAATGTATAAATACTGAATATATATATATACTTTATGTACATATAACTAAATAAAGTGGTGAATTACAGGAATTTAAGAGCTAGAATGTTTTATGAATATCTTACATTTTTCATCTCTTATACAGAATCAGCACTGTATATCGGAATAAAGTTTTGACAAAGAAATTCATTGCAAGAGCGTCAATATCTCACATTTTTCTTTAAATTTCTTAATATGTGTATGGTTTGAATATAATCAATAATCTCACATTATTTTTTAATAAGAATAAAATCAAAGATAATTTAATTATATTTTTATTTTTCAATTTCTTGAACTACGTCTTAAAAAAAATCATAGAAAAAAGTTAAACTTTAAAACCAATACTTTTAAATAGAATGATTGACTCATATTATCTCTCACTAATAAAAAAATTATATCAATAGAGGGACTTTGCAATTTCAAATCAGAATGGACATTGTACGAGAAAACGAAGAGTGATGCTCCCTCCACCACCCCATCTTCTTTCTACATCTTTTCAATTTTTTTAAAATTCTAAATTTATTCTTTTTATTTTTTACTTTTACCAATTTTACTTTTTATTTTTTAAAACACTAATCTCAATCCCCTCTCACTTTCACTTTCCCTTTCACTCTCAGCAACAAGCCTCCATCCTCCATCCTCCACTGTCACTTTCTCTCTTTCTCTTAATTTTTACTTCCGTTAACACAAAATTTGACAGAAAAAACAAATTCTGCATAGTATAAATTTGAAACATTTATAACTTCTAATAAGTTTTTAAGTATCATGATTCCATAATATAATCTGCTAAAAATTTCTTTCCCACTTCCTTGTCTTTAAATAACCAAACTTGAAAATCTATGCTTAAAATAACATTCGTGCTTACAATGGTGCAATGAAAGAGAAGTATGTTTGTTGAGTACAAAATAAAAAGTGAATACAAGAAAAAATAGTTAGTTCAGTTTATCATAGGGTGTTCAGTGAATCTCATGGAATTGGAAAGGAAATAAAAAATGTTGTGTTAACGGAAGTGAAAATTAAGAGAAAGTGACAGTGGAGGGGGGTGAGGGTTTGCTGCTGAGAGTGAAAAGGAAAGTGAAAGTGAGAGGGATTGGAATTAGAATTTTAAAAAATAAAAAGTAAAATTGGTAAAAGTAAAAAGTAAAAAGGATAAATTTGAAATTTAAAAAAAATTGAAAAGGTATAAAAAGAAGATGGAATGATGGAGGAAGCAACACTTGAAAATGAATGTAGACGGATCTACGGTTGATTGTAGCATGCCCAAATTCAAATAACAACACTTTTATTCAGATCTTTTTATGATCAACGTTGTGCTATACTCATATACTCATAATCTCCATGCATTATATATATTACTCGACTTGTTTATGTATCGTATTATTCTATATAAGAAAAGAATTAGTGTATATAAAAAATAAAACAGTATACAAAATTACACTTATAGCCTTATCTCGTTAGTTTACACTTGTCCACTACTCGGGGTATTTTGGTCTTTTTGTCTGTCATCCTACTTTAATTACCAAAAATTGAAACTTACTGAAACATGAAATGGTAAGCATAATAAAAATAGTAAATTAGTTTTCTTATCCATGATTGAGAATGAGCTGACTCAGTCCACTTTCCTTTTTGGAAATTAACTCATGCTAATTTTGAAGTACATCAGAATTCAAGACATAGATGCTTAAGTACTTTATATATCTACAAAGTATAATTGTTTATTTATATAAATTGAAATAGTTTTTGTATTGTTTTAAAAATCAACTTATTATAAAGCAACGATTAATTTCATTTAAATTTTAAATCAATAGTATAAAAGTAACTATAATATTTTTAAGAGAATAAAAAACCATTTAATGACTATTGAAGATAATAACACATTCATAGTAGAAATAATTGATATATTTTTAATTTAAGAATGTAATACTCCAAATTAATATAAATTCTCGACTAACTTAGAGCATTCCAAATTTTTTATATTTCATACAAACAATGTTATAATATCATATTACAATTTCTTTATAATCATTATTCAAGATTTTAAAATAAATAAATTACTTTGTCAAAATAACATTAAGGTTTAAACCCTTCCTTGGTCCTCAAGTTTGTATGAAAATCTCAGTTGGGTCCTCAAGTTTTTTTCTGTCTCAATTGGGTCATATTTTTTGTAAAAATGAACAAATTTTACCCTAACCGTTAAATTGTAACAAACGGCGTTAGTTGGTGCTGACGTGTTGCATAATTAATGTGCTGATGTCAAAATATTTTATTACGTGGAATTTTTATTTAATTTGAGAGATTATGACATGGCACGTGGTGATGTTTTGACTACCTCCCTCCCCCTCTGCTTCCTCCTCCATTGTTGCTCCACCGGCGCCACCCACCATCTACAACACAATCACAGACCAAAATCAATCATGGAATAATGGTTCCTAGTGAAATGAAGAAAAGGAAGAAGAACATAATAAAAGAGAACCTGGTTTTTTTTGTATTGATCAACGGCAAAGCGAGCGAGACTCTCGATGTGAGGGGTGTCGGGAGGAACATCGCTGACTCCACCTCCTGTTACTTCTCTTGTCGAATCGTCGACGAGGTTGAATTCCAGCACCTCCTTAGAGTTCAACCATTCTCTTACCCACACTTTGGTTTCGTACACGTTTTTGCTTTCGCCATCTTTGACCTCCAAGGTTATGTAATACAACACCCCACTCACGATCTGCTGCTTTGCACTTATCACTGTCACAAGCTCCAAAAGTGCGTTCTGCTTTTTGTTGTAATCGTCAACGGCGAAGCGAGCCAGCTCTTCGATCTCCACGCTGTTGGCAGCTCCTGGCACATCGGTGATGCCACCGGCAGTTACTTTTGCTGTTGCCATCTTTCTCTTCTCTTTATCACTCTCTCTGTTCTACCACTCTTTATACCCAAAAATATACCAAACCTTATCTTCTTTTCATTGAATTTTGAATGGTAGAGAAACAGTATACAAATATCTCATGAAAAAAAAAACAAAAATCAATGTATCTCGTTTTTCTGTCTTTTACGAGATTTTATTTGTGTAGCTATTCTTATTTATTACACGTGGATGTTTATAGCCACAAGAATTTGAATCGTAGGTTGTATTTTTACAAGTATTGCTTTTTGTTTTAGAGAATCGCTCAGAGACGACCTTTCCCTTCCAGAATTTCTGAAAGTTGATCGTTCCATTCGAGTATCTCTGAAAGGTGATCTTTCGCTTCCAGAATTTCTGAAAGACGATCTTTCCCTCCCAGAATCTCTCAAACGTGATCTTTCCCTCCCAGAATCTCTCAAAGGCGACCTTTCAGTCCAAGAATCTCCCAAAGGTAATTTTTCCCTTCGGGAATAGCTCAGAGGTGACCTTCCCCTCCCAGAATCTCTCAGAGGTGACCTTCCCCTCCCAGAATCTCTCAGAGGTGACCTTTCCCTTCCAGAATCGCTCAAAGACGACCTTTCCCTTCCAGAATTTCTGAAAGTTGATCGTTCCATTCGAGTATCTCTGAAAGGTGATCTTTCGCTTCCAGAATTTCTGAAAGACGATCTTTCCCTCCCAGAATCTCTCAAACGTGATCTTTCCCTCCCAGAATCTCTCAAAGGTGATCTTTCACTCCCAGAATCTCTCAAATTAATGTGTACCTGTAACTGAATCGAGAAGAATGGCATTTTTTTGGTCTGTGATTGTGTTGTAGATGGTGGGTGGCGCCGGTGGAGCAACAATGGAGGAGGAAGCAGAGGGGGAGAGAGGTAGTCAAAACATCACCACGTGCCATGTCATAATCTCTCAAATTAAATAAAAATTCCACGTAATCAAATATTTTGACATCAGCGCAACACGTCAGCACCAACTAACGCCGTTTGTTACTATTTAACGGTTAGGTTAAAATTTGTTCATTTTTACAAAAAATATGACCCAATTGAGACAGAAAAAAACTTGAGGACCCAACTGAGATTTTCATACAAACTTGAGGACCAAGGAAGGGTTTAAACCTAACATTAAGGAACAAAGAGTAGAATAACTTAAAAGTATATGTTAGTGTTAGTCTATCATCAATTCTACTCTGGACTTGCACCACTGTTGTTATAGGCACTCGGTATTTTTTTACTTACTTGAAATCCACAATCATAGTAGAACATACAAATATATAATAAGGGTAAGCAAGAATACAAATGATGAAAAAAAAATATTTTTGTAGAATAAATTAGTAATCTTTTAACTATACACGATCATACTTTAAGTTCTACACATCATACAAAAAATTCAATAACAATTGCCTTCAAAAGGTTATATATATATATATATATATATATATAAAAAAAATCAATCAATTATTCAAGTTAATTCATACAAGAAAAACTATCTAAATTCTGTCAAACGCCCACGATTGTCACTCAATACAACTTAAACATAGGTGAATTTCTCTCAACGCTTGTTAGATGATAGTTAGCGAGCTCAATATTCACCTAGCAAGAGTAATCCTAGAACTCTCATGAGTTAAATGGATTAACTCGTCCAACGACAACCAAGTCAGAGGTCCACTATTTAAGTGATGCCTAACAACATGATAGTGATGTTCAATAATATAACAAAATTCTAACTCTGTGTGAACTTTAATTAAGTAATTTTGATACTTTGTGAGTCATTCCCTTATTTAACAGAACGTCATAATCCCTAAAAATTCATGTTCTTAAATGAGATCAGTCTCAAATCAGTTCAATTCAAATGTCTCACAAAAATGTGTTTAATATAACAGACAAAAACCAAGACATTTCACACATTAATTCATTCTCTAATAGTAATCGAATCAAATTCATTCTTCATCTTTTATAACAATTCACCTTAAAGAGAATCATGCATTTATCATAGTCAATTCCATTCAAACCATTTCATAAAAAAACACATGATAATTATATATATATATATATATATATATATATATATATATATATATATATTAACTTTCCTTACTTACTAGTAAACGGTATCTATAAATACTAAGCTTTCTAACCAGTAAGATATACAAAAATATCTATAAAGAAGATATAAATTAATTATACAATCACACTTATCTTTAATCGAACAAAGATTGCTCATTGATCCCAAAAACACACATATAATCTAATTATCCCCATGTAAATCAAAACCCTAAGTGACTCTAAAAGAACTGTAAGAAAAACTTATTCTTTTCATAAATTGATTGGATATACAAGACATTATAAATTATTTACTAATTAATAATATAAATTAAAAAATTACAACTAATTCGGTTCTTTGTGTAAAATAAACTGTTTCAATAAATTCATTATAACTCTTATATTGCTATGTTTTAGGAGATATAAATATAATCTTAAATTAGGCAGTCATAGCAGTGGTTAACAACATTTAAAAAATATTAATAATATTGTATCTGTTGAATTGTTAGAGTCCTCAAGATTTTTTATAATATAAAAAAAAACATAAGAATGTTTTGTAATAATATTTATTATCATTATTAAAAAAAAACAACTACCTCAACAGATTAGAACTTATTTCTACTCATAATTCAGAAATAATTTACCTCTTACAAAAAGATCTCAATTGTTTCATGTTCATATCTAAGGTTGCAGTGAAACGACCATCCACTGATATTGGTTATAACAATAAAAACTCTTTTTAAACAATAAAATAATTTGAATAAAAAAATGTCAGCACTCGAACCTCTGAAGAAAATAAAAATCTGAATTTTATCATAGTTTTGTATATGTTTCCTTTTCCCAATCATATCGAGAATGGTGGCAGAGATTGAGTGGCGACATGATTTTTAACTTCGATGTAGTCTTGACTTAACGACAACTAAAGTCTCTTTCACCACAAACAAACAAAAACAAAATGGAAAGACCGCCATCACTACTTTTTTTTTCTTTCCACTGCCAAATAAACAACCTTATTTATTCATGCTAATGCCCAAATGCCAAATGGTGTTTGGTAAAGTGGAGAGCATTGAAAAGGATCATCACTACCTTCCTTTTTCCACTTCAAAAAATTTTATCATCCCAAACTATACCTTTTTAAAGCCATAATTTAAGCCATCCACACGTTTGTCCTTTTTCACATTGTACCATAGGATATCTGAATTCACCAACTGTCGACGAGTATCACGGACGACAGAGTGTCGACCCATCTCACAATCGCAGGAGTATCGAACACTCCTTAACGCCAATCATTTGTGAGGTCGACACTCATTTTGTTGATGTCGACGTACTGGCAGACCACAAGCCATCGACGATGTCGCGACATCTATCGCTCTCACGACATTTCATATGTTTGTGTCGACGCAAACAGTGGTCGACATATAGTGAACGATATCATAATAAACGGTTCAGCAGTTAAGAATAAGCAGTTACAAATATTAGCTAACGCAACGCCACGAATCACGCAAGTAATTGACTCAGTATCAGACACGACCTAGCAGTTACAACTTCCAAATAGTCCAAAGGTACGTTTTTCCCCTTAGAGAAATTAAGAAAGAGAAATTATTCTTCTTCTTGAACCAAAAGATTGAGGTGACCCCTTTTCTGACTTGAGCGTCGGAATGCCTTTGCAGGTACCCAGCCCACTTTCCCATCAGAGAGGATAAGGAAGAGAGATATCACGGTAACAGCATCGCAGGAAGGAGCAGTGGAGATTTGTTAAGTTCGTATCTCGGTTTCACATTCATACAGAAACACACACTATTTTTTCTAACCATCATATTCATTCAAACGTTAAAACTAATGCAATGTTTCTTCCTTAGTATTAGAATTGATATCATCACAATTCAAACTGGTTTTGAACACACATCATCCTTATCCTTCCCTTGCCGTATGGGTTCGGGGTCGGTGATGCTTTTTCAAACATCATCCTTATGTTTCTCTTGCGCAATAATAAGGGAATTCATTTATAGCATTACTTTTCAATTTTTATGGCCAAATGGGAAAGTTGAAAAAACACAACACAGTCAAACTGAGGTGGTCCACAATACCAAAATCATTCATTGCGGCTTTAATATTATTCTACAGAAAAACGCTTTCTATACAGTGGCAACCATCCTTGCTGACCTTCATTCTCTATTGGAATTGTAATGTGAACCGATCTGTCTGTCAGCAACTCGAAGTTAATTAATTTGCTATGTTCTCTCTTTCAAGACGCTTCGTTTCTCTATGCACAAGCACAAACTAAACCTCCACATTCAGTGTCTTAGATGAAGTCTCCAAAACAAAGACTAACCGGGTGACTGTTGACCAACAACCCCAAACCAAAGCTAAAACCTTTGAGACAAAAGCTCATATGGGTGTCTCTCTTTCTGTTTAGTTTTGGAGAATTTTCAGTCCAGAATTGGAAATGAGTTTCCTTCATTTCCTCCTTCTGTGTGTGTTGGTTGCATTTTCCAGTTCACACCTGGTTCGTGGAAATGCAGAGCTAAGAGCTCTGATGGACCTGAAAATATCTCTGGACCCAGAGGACACGGTGCTTGCCTCGTGGACCAGTGATGGTGATCCGTGCAGTGGTTCGTTCTTGGGGGTTGCGTGCAACGAGCATAACAAAGTGGCGAATATATCATTGCCAGGAAGAGGTCTTTCTGGCCGTGTCTCTCCAGCTGTGGCTGAACTCAGATGCTTGTCAGGTCTATACCTACATTTCAACCACCTCTCTGGGGACATACCCAGAGAGATTGCAAATCTAACAGAATTGATGGATCTCTATCTCAACGTTAATAATCTATCTGGAACAATTCCCCCTGATATCGGGAACATGATTAGTCTCCAAGGTTAGTATATAGTTTTGTGGTAGCTTATCTTTAGTTTGTATCAAGTTATCTACAGAAACGAAGCCTCATTGCTTAATCTTAAATTCTATTAACTGCTTTGAGTTGAATACCTTTAATGGGGGAAGGAAATTGTATTAGTTTGAATTTTGCGAATTATCTGAAAACTCTGTCAGTTAAGTTGCGTTACTACTATTATGAT